ATATATAGAGAGAGAGAGAGAGAGAGAGAAAGAGAGATATAAACACTGAACCTCCTATGACTTTCTGGTGAGAGAGGAGGGTAGTTAAGGATAAATACCAAATTTGATGACAACTGGTCCAGTGGTTTGCTAGTTACACACAAACAGAATTTTGTCAAATAGTGGTTTATATACGTACATACATATTACAGCTGAGCAATTAACTCAATCCATTACCTACAAGCATCGATTTCACCAATTATTGTCACATAAAATAACTGATCACTCAAATTAGCATTTTCAATAATTTCAAATATCTAAATAACCAAAATACTGCCATTAAGATTTCTCTGTTATTTTTCAATTAATTCAAGTTTGTTCAGCTGACTCACTAATTACAATTATAGTGTTTCAGGTTATTAATAGTTTCAATTATCAAACTATCCAAGCCTTCTTGGAGAATAATTGATTAACTGAATGTAATGGATTAATAAGCTACAATGACTTGAATATCACAATTCATGAACTGCTCAGCTTTTATACATTGGTATATCCTTTTTATGCATAACAAAAAATATTAAAACAAACAAGCTTGGACTTTCAGCAAAGTACAAAACCTTATGATATTATTACTATTTTATATACGATGCTACATGTTGAACTCAAGTAGTGAAATTTAATGGGGAATCTTGCTTTACTAATCTATTATCTTTACTTTTTTTTAAAGGATGTCACTTGTTACCTGGATAAGGGAAAGGATGTGGTCTTAATGTACTTAGATTTTCAAAAAGCTTTTGGAAACATACTACAATAAAGATTAGCTAAGAAAATCACATCAATAGAGATTAACTTGGAAAGGACTAATTAGATGGACTGTACAGTGGTAGGATTACATAAACAAAAAGTTGCCAAAACTGAACCTTTGATACTAGTACAGAACCTTGTGGATCAATTGTGGGCCTTTGCTTTGGTTAGAAGAGAGCAAAAAACTGGACTCTTGTTACCTGTGGATAACCTTTTGGTCAATGCCTGGGCAAAGCCCTTTATTATTTACATTTATGATATTGATAGGGGTGTAATTAGTAGTTTTCTGATGATATTAAGCTCTTTGGTATGTCAAGTTGTATTAAGAATGTTGAAGTATTACAGTGCAATTGAATTAGCTGGTAAGTTGGATAAATATTTTGCATATGACTTTTTATCATAGTAAGTGCAAGATAATGCATTTGAGTTACCATAATTTTCATGACATGTAATTCAGATGGGAATCAAGTCAACAGTGCGACTTAAGAAAGTGGTCTTGGCATTGTGGTGAACAAGTCACTCAAACCATCAAAGCAGTACTTTGTTGCTGATAATAAAGCTAATAGAATTTTAGGGTATATTTATAGATAACTAATTGCAAGTCAACAGAGATAATTATCTCTATACAGGTCATTAGGTCCAACTTAGAATACTGTGTAGAGTTTTGTTATCTTTAAGAAAAAATATTCACTTATTGGAAAGGGTTTACAGTAGAGGTACTAGGATGATCCCAGGGATAGAAGGATTATCCCTCAAGGATAGGTAAATATTCCAAATGATTTTTTTCTCTTGAAAAAAGAAGGGCATGAGGTAAACTTGTCAAAGATTACAAGATTTGCTGAAGGATTGACAACATAAAGGCCTTTTATTTCTTTATGGTATATTCTTATATAATATTACAAGAGGACATAAAATTAAAATCTTGAAAAGGCAAGCTAGGCTCCAGTTAAGACAGTTTTATTTTTCTAACAGGATGATTGAATGAATTGCCATAGGCAGTAATGGAGGCTAGCACTTTACACATGTTTAAGAGGGGATTCAATGATATCACGATAAGTAAAGGAAGGAATGTGTTAATTTTTTCATGAGTGGGTGTGCAAGGACAGTCTTGAAGGACCAAGGTTATGTTATGAAGAGACAGATACATAACCATATGTGTAAAAGTGATTTAACAGACATAGCACAGTGGTTATAAAAATCAAAACATTTAAATATTTGCCAAACCTGTTGATTTCTGCATTAAAACCTGTTAGTTTTATATGACTGGCAGGTTGAAAATATGTATTACAGTTATCTCTATTTATAAAACACTTTCACTCATTAAAAAGTGCTTTTACAAGCCCACTACAAATTAACTACAGGATATGACAGATAAGGTTTGGGACAAAATAGGTCTAAAAGGATCTTAACTTAGTGTTTTCCTTAAGTTGAAATAGACATATTTGTATTTTAAGAACTGAAAAGCTTTCTTCCCTTTTGTACCTGTTGCTTTCTTGAGATAACGTCAGATCAATCTTATAGCTTACATACTTTTTTCTTGATCCAGCTGATGACTGCTGGAATAGATAAGTCATCACTAACACATTATAGAGCTATAATCATCACAGGTTCGAAAGTGCTGTCTATACGCTTTCCTTTCTTATGACGTTAAACTTAGGTATATGCAGTACTGTGAAAAGATTTTAAGCTCTCTGAATTTTGTGGAATGTACAGGATAGAAAATGCTTTGAAAGTAAAGAAATATACTTTTCATATAATAGTAAACAAAATTACCGGATTATTACCATATATTTTGTTTGTCCTCCTCTTTTCAAAACTGATTGAATGTGTCATATATGACTTTTTTGTAATCTCCATAAAAACTTCTCTGAACTATTATTACAAGCGTCAAGAAGCATATTCCAAAGTTTATTTTCACAGGTTGGTTGCTTTTTATTGTTTTCTCTGGCCAAATCATTTCATACTGATTCAATAACTTATAGATTGAACCATGATGTCAAGCACACTATTCCTATCTGAAAGTACAGTTTGACTGCATTGGCTGTACATTTTTAATCATTATCATGCTCAAAAATGAACCCATCTCCTATAAGTCATCTTCCAAAAGGTATAGTGTAAAGTATTAGTATCTGCTTTTATTTTGCTGCATACATTCTTCAATCAATTTTCACCACATCTCCCATTCTAGTTGCAGAGATGAAGCCCAAAACCCAAAAGGACCCATCTCCATGCTTCATAGTTGTTTTAAGCACATATCTTTGTATTCACCAACATTTCTCCTTACATACTGCCTTCTTTTCAACCCAAATATTTCAAACTTAAACTCATCAGTCCAAAAGACTTGTTTCCATTGCTGGTGGGATTATTCTTTATGTCAGTTGACATACTTTCATTTCTTTGTTTCAGTGCCTTTACATAAAAAATGTTTTTTGATAGCCACTTGCCCTTTTAAAACACTTCTCACTAAGGACCTTCATACAATAAAAAATGGACTTGCACTCCTGATGAATCTGATAGTTTATGTGATAACTCTTAGCTTGATTTTTTTCTGATCCTGAAGGAAGTAATCTTTGGGTACACTTCATCATGTTTAGAGATTTTTTTGGTTGATCATGCCTTTTCCAGTCTGCTATTGAACAGTCTTTTTATACTTATTAATCATTTCTTAACACAACCAACCATAAAAGCCAGTTCTGGAAGCAATATTATGTTGGATACAATTTTGGTCATATTTAAATAAAATTTTAAATCAGTCCTTTGTTGAAATTCTTGGCATGGATCAAGAATGTGAACCTATTAATATTTTACAAGTACAAAAGTAGCACACAATGAATCACAAAGTCAGACATAGCCAGTATAAGTTTAAGCCCTGTTTAACCAAATATATATATATTTGTTTATTTGCAAATAGTGATAAATTAGCCTCTTATTAGTGTAAGAACTTACACAATATAATTTCAATGAAAATCTAATTGTAATCTTTGTGACTGCCAAGTTTCAAATTCCTATTAAGTTGCTGTAATGAGCTGCATACAATTATATGTCATTTCCAAATGTAAACAACATAGCTGCTATCATATAGCTGAAAATTTTAAAAATCAAAAAAGATTAAGTAATGTCATATAATAAACCCTTGACTTTCGCAATTTGACTTTTAATTCCAAAATTTGTTTCAGCAAAAAAGTTATAAATGAAGAAATCTGTGTCCCCTCAACTGCTAAAAGAGCTACAATTCAGTTTGATAGAATGCACTTTGTGTTGTACAGACTTTGAGATTTTATAAATGTAGAATTTTTGTAACATCCCTATTGAAGCTGTAATTATTCACATACAAGTATGAATACAAGGCTTAAGAACACAACAAATATAAATGCAAAAATAATTATAGCAATAAGCTGAGCCATTTTTAATATGCTGTTATTACCATACATGTATGAATAGAAGTCTTTCCACTTGCCAATTTTTTTAAAAAGAAGATAAAATATAATTACTGCAATAACTGAGTAATGTTTGTTAACTTATATAATTACCAAATCTGTCAAAAAAAAAAGTTTACAGAATTATAATAACAGCAAATAAAATGTTAACGTTTGCATTTTTCTTTCAACATTCAGCTGGCCAGCAGTAAAAAACTGAAGGGTATTAAAATAATTTTTATCCAATAAACTTAATAAACTAAGCAATATGTATGTGGAACGGAAGAATAATGATGGTCTATTTTCTCTAATATCAAACTGAAGCATTTGTTGTTGTTCTATTGTTTGTATTTAAAGTTACCCTTATAGGTATTGCAGTTGTTTCAAGTTACACTTATACTATAACTATAAGATATAGGATATTATTTTAAACATACTAAGTTACAGAATGCAAAAATGCATACAAGTTACAATGCAACTTAATTATGCTTAACTTCCTGCATGTCAGGTAAGCTCAACCCTAAGTTTAGTATTCAAGGTCTATTTTATCACCGAAGGTTAGGTAAGAATTTCTAATGAGAAATGACTAAATAATAGTTTAATATTATATCAATTTATTATATAATAATAATAATATTAACACTAATAACAGACTTCCTGACTTAGACTTTTCAAATACAAAACGGTACAGTAATCTTACAATTCACAATTTCTTTCGGCTTATGTAACTTTACTATCATTAATTCATCAACTAATTTCGTTAATCTAACACATATGTTAAAATTATACATATATAATCACCTATTTTAATTTTCAAGCATTCCTCAACCCTGACATCACTCGTTGATATCATCGCCATCTTCCATGGCATATCCTTAAAAGCGCTACCTTCGTACGATACTCACAAATATTTTATATATAATTAATGATATATATATATATATATATATATATGTGTGTGTGTGTGTGTGTGTGTGTTACCCTTTTTGTCTAGTTAAGTAACACATGCAATGCAGCAATATCAACTATATCAGCATAAAAATATTTTTATACACGTCATCTTCCTAATTGAGATAAAATTAATTTATCTGTTTAAGTTTTAAAAAGCGACAAATAGCGACAATATACAGATAAAGAAACGGATGCTAAATTCTATGACGAATAATAAAAAAAAAAATTAACCAAAATATATCAGTTGGGGTTTAAGAATTCAGGAAATTTTTTGTCAATAATGATTAAAATAGAAAAAAAGTGGAGCCATTTTTTCCTACACAAGAAAAAAAGCACGTTTATTATTTTTGTGTGATACATTATTCCACACTTTGCGTGATCACTAGAGATAAATACTTTTCACTAAGATGCAAGTGGTTACAATGAGGACATAACTTATAACTGATCATATTAAGGTAGAAGAGAGTGCATTTCTGTATTATTCCCAGGTTCAACAAGTGACCTGACCTTCCCAATAACAAGATATTCATGGACAGAGATTAAATACGTTATATGAAAATACTTTTGAAGCCTCACCATATCGTTATAAGTCCCTACATCTGGTCACCCTCTAGCTGACGTTAATGCATTTTGGTAATAGCCCTGCAGCAGCGTAGTTTCCAAGTGCCCGTTCAACAGTCTGATCCATAAACGCTGCATCCAGCATATTGACTGGCATGTCTCACAGAAAACATGAATACCAATTTCATTCTATGCAATGGTTCAGCAGATATGTTGCAGAAGCTACTTATGTACACGTGACTTACGCCACTTTTCCATCTTGGATACATTGTGTATTGATGCCTGAAACATGTATACGTGATTCGCCACTGGTCTTTGTGTTTGTGAATTTGCCAATATTACAAAAAGCCACACTTTTTTTTTTCTGCCACGGCTAGGAATCGACTTGTTGCAGGTCTCTTTCTGCACTGTTATGTTTCTCCTAATTGATCCATATTCCTTTGTTTTCTAATGACATTAAGTACAAGGTATATCTCCGTCTTAGAAATTATAAATCTCCGGTTTGAATCCATGTACGTGATTGTAGAGTATGAATATTTTACGTGGGAAAGAGCTGTTACACACCATACACAAAATCAATTAATTTTCAATGCCATCACACTACCTGACACCAAACTATTTCAAAACGTAGTTCTGATACATTCCGTTCCACCACGACTTTAAAACGACTGTGGTTGTTACGTAACTTGCTAATTTGTCTAGTAAAATCGTTTCAATATAATGTACTTAACCGTCTATAGTATGTGGAAAGACAGACTTTCTGGTGGAATGAAAGAGACACGACATAAAATACTTTTTAATTTCTGAAAATAAACCCACGTGGTTACGGCACTCGACTCGCAATCTGAGGGTCGCGGGTTCGAATCCCCGTCACACCAAACATGCTCGCCCTTTCAGCCGTGGGGGCGTTATAATGTGACGGTCAATCCCACTATTCGTTGGTAAAAGAGTAGCCCAAGAGTTGGCGGTGAGTGGTGATGACTAGCTGCCTTCCCTCTAGTCTTACACTGCTAAATTAGGGACGGCTAGCGCAGATAGCCCTCGTGTAGCTTTGCGCGAAATTCCAAAACAAACAAACAAACTGAAAATAAACGAAAGAGTTGCTGATCATCTGATGGAAAGGATTATTGTGTGGTGTTAAGACTGGAAAGTAAAATTAACTGTATTTAAATTAAACAGCAAATAAAGAAAACTTTGTTTAGAAAGAAAGGGGAAGAAACTCTTCTTTCAAACAAACATGAATGTTGGCGTGAAATTACTAAACAAAAGATGTGATCACCAGAGTAATTGTAATAAAACAAAATAACTAAGTGTGATCTGAGAGAACAAAACTAAATCAAAATTGTAAAACTGTGAGTTAGACTAAACAAAAACACTACGTCATAGCAAATCGAAAGAAAGTCAAACTAACATGAAAGTAATTGTTTTAAATATCTGAAAGCCCAGTAGTCATATAAGCCAAGTTAGATGAAGGATGGAGTAACAACAGGACCGAACCTTTGGCCAATTCTAGGGTATTGCCACAGCTGTTCCAAATACTGGAAAGCCATTTTCGTACATAATCACCATAAAGCTAACTGTTTTTATTTCTCTTCAAATTAAGGTTAATATCTTAAATATACAGTGCCTTCCAAACGTCTTCTCCCCCCTGTGCTGGTAATAAATTTTAGGTATTTTCTTGTGAAAGACATGACTCAAATGGCCAAAAATATTTATCATATTAATTTCATACTAGTTTCTAAAGATTAAAAGAATAAAAAGTGCATTGTTACATAATTTAGTTATGCAACACAAAGATATTGTTGCGTCATCGAGATCACGT